AATGAGTAGATAATTTTTGTCCTATTACAAATATTAATGGAAGGTTTATGTGTACGAAACGTTAAGAGAAAAAAATATACAAGAGTTTTTCTAGCGATTCGACATTTCGAATTCGGCACATGTTCTATAACTCCAAACAAATTTACTGAAATAGTTATTGTTTCATTGTTTTCAAAAGAATTCATTTCAGAGTTTGCAATATAAAGATGAAACCTGGCTTTACTTTGCTGATTGTCAAGCAGCCTTCAGGTTTAGGTTGAGATTTTATGAGAATTACAGTTGGTACAAGACTCTGATGGTTCGACTCATCTTACTACATTAGAACCATAAATGATCAAACGTGGTGATATGGGAAAAATCCTTTGAGCATCTCAAGAAGAAAATTATTATTATCAAATTCATTTTATGCCAACACCATTCAAATTGCAGAATTTTTTTATATCGAACCGGATTACCCACAACCCATAATACACTTTTGAATATTAAAGTTGAGTAAAACTACCCCCTATTTACACAAAATTCATAGCAACCTAAAAAATATAGGAAAAATTTGTAAAATATAAACAACATTTTATAGTTTTTTTTTTGTCCAAAAAATTTTTACAAAGCCAAAAGACAAAATCTATTAAAATTTTATATAAATTTTCGCACATACATTTTTACTCTCATACTTACTTTTTTATAGTAATTTTATGATTTTGTATAGTTTTGTTTAAAAGCATCTACACATAATATCTACAAATATATAGGATAAAGCAAAAAAAAAAAGGATATCAGAAAATAAGAAGAGAAAAAAAAAAGTCATTGTGATGATAATGATCATTTGTTCTCATTTCAATTTAGCTTCCCTTTCACTTAATTGCTTAAAAGCTTTTGGAAATTTTCAATTATCATATTATACAGTTATACAGGATGGTCAACAAAATCCTTTTGTTTTGTTTGATTTTTCTTCTTGTTCCTCTCCTATTTGGGTTTTTTCATTATTTTGTTATAAAAACAAGAGGGAAAACTCGAAAATTGTTGGCAAAAATCAGGAAGGCATATCTGCCAAAAACGTATAACAAAAACGGAATCTTATTTTCTGCTAATAGAAAAAGTTTAAGCTAAAAATTTTTATTAAATTTCACTTTTCTTCATTGTTAATGTGATGATGAATTCATGCCCGCTCATAGTGAATTAAAACGAAGAGAAGGAAAAAGTTTTGTTCTATATTTCGGAAAAAATGGGGAAAAAAATAAATTATTTTTAATCTTTAGTCTTGTTTTTATTCTAAACTCTTATCGCTTCTTATATCCTTCTCCATTTTACGTACTCCTTTTTTTTCTCATATAAATGTAAAAAATAATTTTCTGTTGTAATTTTTGTTTTAGTTTCCTTTTTAAGCTTTTCCTTTAGTTTCAAGAGCAAAAAATTAAAATAAAACTTTTTCATATTTTATGTGTTTTTCTTATTTTATGCCCATTTTAATAATTTAATAGGTTATTCACATATATGCGTACAAGTATATGAGGTCCTTATTCTGGAAAATAGTAATAATAACTTATAATATGATTTTATAGTAGTTTAATTATCCTAAAAACCTAATTAAAACCACAAATGAACTTTTGGTTAAGTTTTTTCATTTGTTCTATTTTCTGTTTTTGTTTCAAATGTTAAAAACTTTAGTTTGAATAAAGAGTCAGGACTACAAAAAAAATTTTATTTGGGAAACATTATATTTTGGTCAAGAAGAAAAATTCAAATTTTGTGGAATATTTTTTTGTTTAAATATTTAAAAATAAAAATTTATTGTTGTTCATCATTTACATAAGTATGATGGACATGTTTATTTAAATACGAGTATGAGAGTAAAAAAATTAACGTAGAAAAGAAATGCTTTCTCTAATGAAAGAAATTATTCAAATCAGGAAGTCGGTTGAAAAATAAATATTTTATTTTCTCTGTTTGAAGACCGAAATGAGTCAAGGTGATTATTTTCCGGGTGACTATGTATACGGCAACACTCATTAAGAATAAGCGATTTATTTCATTCATTTATCAAAATATATCAAATTGTTGCATATATTTAGGATTAGCAAAAACAAAAAAGGTAGAAAGTGTTAACATAATGATTGAATAATGCGTCCAAAATTCAAATTTTATGAAAATTCGATAGGTGAGGGAGAGTGCAAAAAATGCTCAAAAAAATTTTAATGTGCTGCTCAGCGCATTGTTTTTTAATCAATGAATTATACGTACGACAATGATTAAGAGGATATTTTGTGTAGCTGGAACTATTCAGAAAATATTTAGGCTGCCTATCAGTCGCGAAGGTCTACTGTACTCGCTCTGCAGAGTTTGGTGGGGGTCATTGAAAACTCACTGGAAGTGCGGGAGGTGGCAGTTGGCTGCTTCCTTGATATAGAGGGAGCTTTTGACAACACTCCATATCATGTCATCTGTGAGTCGTTGCACAAACGAGGGATTGATGCGACGACTCGCAGATGGGTTAATCGGATGCTACAGGTTGGGATTATTAAGTCCACCATAGCTGACGATATACTCTTCATCTCCGGGTGTCCGCAGAGCGGGGTTCTTTCGCCCCTCCTGTGGTCCATTGTAGTGGATGATCTAATCGCTGCTCTCAGTGGCTCCGGGGCACGTGTCTGGGGATACGCTGACGATGTGGCCTTCGTCGTACGAGGAAAATTTGAGAGCACAATTTCTGATCTTTTACAGCAAAATTTACGTGTTGTGGAGAGGTGGTGCGAAGGCATTGGGTTAAATATAAATCCAAGCAAGAGCATTTTGGTCGCCTTCACCAGACGCAAAAGCAGGATCAGATTAACGAGAACAAATCTGTTTGGTGAACATATTAGTTACTCTAGGGAGGTGAAGTATCTGGGGGTTACCCTGGATGATCGTCTTTCCTGGAATAACCATATAGACAGAATTATCGGGAGGGCTAAGGCGGCCTTGTGGACGTGTAGGAGCTTCATCGGAGGGACTTGGGGAATCAGTCCCAGGATAGCACTGTGGCTATATACGGCCCTTGCTAGGCCCATCGTTACCTATACGTCGATTGTATGGTGCCGTAAGGCTCAGCAGGCGGGTGTGCGGGCCAAGCTGGAAAAGCTACAGAGGCTGGCCTGCCTGGCAGTGACCGGGGCAATGCGGACGACTCCTACCGCTGCATTGGAGGTGATAATCGGGCTGCCGCCACTGCACCTCTATATATTGAGGGAAGCTCGGCTAGTGACTTACCGACTTCTCTCTGGCGAGGAAAGAGCAGGGTTAAAGTTGGCCCACAGGACTCACAAAGATTTCATTGAGAGCGATCCGATTCTAAGAATAACCATGTCGGATACCTGTCTGCCGCCGTACAACTTCGACCACAAGTACAGGGTTCTGTTCCCCGGTCGTTGGACGTGGGATCTGGATGGCCCGGTACTAGAGTCGGGTTCGAGCGTGTGGTATGCGGACGGATCCAAAACGGAGTCGAGCGTGGGTTTGCACGGTGTTCCAGGCCGAAATACATGCAATAGAGATCTGTCTGGGAATCAATTTAGAAAGGGGGTATAGAAACCGCACCGTCTATGTGTTCGCGGACAGCAGGGCTGCACCGCTGGCGCTTCGTTCAGCTCAAGTTACATCCAAGCTGATTTGGGGCTGCCTTGCTGCACTTATGGAATTGGCATCGGAGAACAGAATCACACTCATTTGGGTGCCGGGCCATAGTGGCCATACGGGCAACGAAATTACCGATGAGCTGGCGCGGAGGGGATCTGGGGCTGACTTTGTGCAGCCGCTGCCTTTCTGCGGTCTGCCTTCTTCCGCCGTGGGGGCCTCGCGGCGGAATGCAGCGGTCACTGGCGGGACACGAAAGGGTGCCGTCATGCGAAAGTGTTTCTTTCGGCGTGCTCCAGCGGATTCACCGCAGAGTTGCTGCGGATGAGCAGAAGCCGGGTTCACACTATTGCGAATTTGTTCACGGGCCACTGCCCAGCGAAGTACATACGATCAAAAATATTGATTTAATTTAATTTTAACAAAAAACTGTATTTATGTATTCGAGTATTTTAAAAAACTTAAAGATAATTGCAATTCCACTTACACTTGACACCAATTTACTTAAAATAATTTATACAAAAAACCACCAAAGATGCTTATGAGCTGGCCGAAAAACAATATAAAGAAAATTAAATTTATTTAAACTTTCTTGTTATATTTTGATTCACACATAAAAGGCTCACAATAAAATGTATCAATAAATTCTGTGTTTTCTGAAGCATCCATTTACATCATCATAGTACTTTCAGATATTATTTATTATTCTCTTCAATTATTATATTCCAACATGCACTAAGTTGAATGCAACATATTGTTTTTACATTGAATAATAGCAATCCAAATATAAATTTTCGAGTAAAGGCTGAAATTTGTATTTATTTTTTTCGTGTTCATCCATTTTATTTGTGAAGTCCTTGTAAAAAATTCTTCCTGTTTTTATTTATTTCTTTCGCTTTTAAATTTTTCCATTTTAACCTGATAGAATACTGTAAGAGAAATATTGTTTTCATACCAAAATGAATAAGTATGTGACAGCCAAATGTCATGTACTCATTCATGCTCTCGTTTATTCTAGTTTAAACTAGTTTTTTCAGCAAGGAAATGTATATGCTTTGGATGACAATCAATATTTAAGAATTAAATGGCTCTAAGCGACCCGATGATCTAAATTACTCTAACCTGTTAAAATTATAGCCAGCCACAGTAAAATTTAAGTACGTCAGTTCCATTTAAATGCCTGCAAAAAGAAATTTTTGTTCTCGTATAAAAAATAAAAATAATAAACAAACTTGAAAAGTAAATTTAATATTGATAAAATGTATATTCTTTTAAAATTCCGGAATTTCCTTTTCCTATTAATCTTTAAAAAAAAATATTTATTTACAAAAATATAAAAAAAAAATATTTCATAATTTTAATTTATTTTTCTTTGTTCTTTTAAATCATTTCAGGCATATCATTTTTAATATGTAAATAATGCTTTTGCCCTCAGGTCATGCTATTACCAGTAATGACCAACAGCAGCCACCTAGTTTAGGTAACGGTAGTATAAATGCAAGTAATAATATTGATTATGGAATAATAACAGACACAACAACAACATCTAATAATATACCAACGTCATTAATACAAACAAATAATATTGTTGCTACTAGTACACCAATAGGTAGTGTAGCATCAGGAATATTAGCTACAACTGTAACAACATCAAACAATATTATAAATAATGGACAATTATATATGACAACAGGTATTCTACCAACAACAAATTTAAATGCTATAGCAAATATAAATTATATAGATAGTGATATTGTTGTTACTAAGCCACCAGCTGGTACAGTAGTAGGAACAGGAATAGTAGCAATAGCAGCTGCAACAACAGCAATAACAACACCATCAACAACGGCTGTTATAACAAATTCTGTAAATACAATTCAAGCTGTTAAAACGGCAACAGCTGCAACAAATACTTATAATGTAGATTTAACGAAACATTTAGATGTGCTACAAGATGCACTAAAAGATGGATGGACTGTACATTGTGGAAAAGAAGGGCGTTTATATTATTGCAAGTAAGTTTTTTTTGCCTTTTTATTCAAGTTACTTATTTATATTGTATTGAGAAATTTATAATGAAAAATTAAAAATAAAATAAAAATATCAAATACAACAATATTTTACAATGAAAATCCGGAGTGCGTGGTGTGATTTCATTATACAATCTTCATTATAATTATGATTGACCGTACGTAATAATCATTTGAATTATAATGAAATTTTAAAAAAATTAAAAATAAACTGGAAAACAAATAAAGCACATACCGTTGGCGCAAAATAAAATATAATTTTTAATCTTATTGTAGTGATTTTCATATGATTTAAGCAATACAAGAAGATCAGAAGTTGGTGATGAATTTTACTCCATTATAATTAAAGATTCTTTACGAAATTATTAATTTTATTCATATTTAAAATTATTTAATTTATTAAATAATATGCTATAAATATACGAATGCTATAATCCAGTTTATTTTAAAACCAACGTGTTAAATTCGAGGGCCGCATTTAAAAATAGCCATATAATTTCTCCAACAGATTTCTGAAATAATGTAGGAGTATAAGACTTCATAACTTACTTAGTGATCAATTAAGCTGCCATTCATATGCCAAATATTGAAATTGCAAATATTTTAAAAATTTTGTTTCACAGTTCATTGAGAATAGTTGGAAGCTAGGTGAACATTCGTCTTTATTGGAGACCAGCTCAGAAAATGAATTCTTTTGCACAGCTAAAAAGTAAGGAGGCACAGCTTCGAGAAAAATTTTGCCTCATTGCTGAGTAACAGAAGGGACTGGGAGCGAGACTTTTCGGGCCTCCCAGTTGGAACACACGTTGTTAGATGGTACGCAGATGGGTCAAAGACCAGTATTGGGACGGGTGCGGGGGTATTTGGGCCAAGGACCAAATTCTCCGAACCTATGGGAACTTTTCCGAGTGTGTTTCGGGCTGAGTTGCACGCCATTGAAATGTGCGTGCGGTTCAGCCTGGAAAGAGTGTATCGGGGACAAGAAATAATGATTATGTCGGATAGCCGGGCTGCGATCGGAGCGCTGAACTCGTTTTCAGTATCCTCCGCGGCAGTATGGGGCTGTCTTGAGAAACTCAATGAGTTAGACAGATGCAACCGAGTCACACTGTGTTGGGTGCCGGGCTATGTGGGCGTGGAAGGAAATGAGGCCGCTGATGCGCTTGTAAGGAAGGGGGCAAACACACCTCTTCTTGGGCCGGAACCCTTCTGCGGAATCGGACCACATACTATTCGTTGGGAATTAAGGAAGGAATCAGAAAGAAGGCGGTCGGAGCGCTTGAGAAGTCTTCCGGAGCTGCGGCAAGCCAAAGAGCTCCTGGGAAATTATGACCAGAAGCGATTTAAGAAAATTATAGGGTTGGGCAAGAACCAGGTGAGAGTCCTCACCGGCATTTTGACGGGTCACTGCAAGCTTAGGGGACACATCAGTCGGCTGGGCCTGGAAAATGAGGATGCTTGCAGATTTTGTGGGGAGTATGGGGAGATATTATGCTTCTCTTCTCATTTCGCATGGTCAACTACTCTGTACAACATAAACTTTTACTGAAGCTCATCTATAATATCACATTGAATCGATTTTGATTTAAAAAGCATTCTTAAATGAAATTCTAAAAAAAGGCAATTTTTTTTTCATTATTAAATTTTAATTTTTGTTCCTTTAGTTTCATATTTTAATAATATCACTTACACTAGTTTTCTTCTTCTCATTTTAATTTTCAACTTCAAACAACAATTTTCCTTCATTTATTGTTCTTTTTGTAAGAAAAACTAAAAGTTTTTAATTGTAATTTCTGACCCATTAAAAAGTTTCTGAAAAAGATGAATATTCTATTATGCAAAACTTTTTATTTTAACTTTTTTACTTCTTTTAACAAAACTCCATTTTTCTTACCCATCTCTGATATTTTATCATCTGTTTTACTGACTGAAGAGAAAAACTAAAAAAAAAAATACAAAAACCAAGAGAAAAAAGCAAGTCTCCAAAAAAGTTATTAATTTTTTCATAGTTTACTCCCAAAGATATGCATTTTTTTTGTATTTTTAAATTAAATGAAAATATGATAGGAATCTCTTTACACTCGTAACTTGAACTGAAAAATGTAATTAAACCAAAATTTCTATATGGAATTATTAAGACAAAGAATTTCAATTTTGAAGTTGGAAAATAATTTAAAATTGAAAAAAAAAAGATTTGAATGTTACCCATAAATTTCCTGTATAACTATGTACGAAAATGTTGTTATATAAATTTTGATTTAATTTATTACAATTAAAGTCCTTTTCTTTTCTGCATTTCAACTTCTCTTCAAAAAACCAAAATTGAAAAGACAAAAGATTCATAAAATTAATTTAATTTGCGTTTTTGTTTTTTTCTTTTTCTTTTACTATGTATTCATTATGAGAATTTGATTCACTTTGGTTCATCACGTTTTCTCTATATTTTTGGGCTTTTTTTTTTGTTTTTTAATTCTTATTCATTCATTTCCGTGCTATTCTTTTTTGGATTGCAAGGATTGTACGATAATATTTAGAACAAAAAATACTATTAAAAGGCAAGTCAAGTGAAAGACACTGCGCAAAAATCAGTGTGTCTTCTTATGATAAGAATGGTTTTTTTTTTTGAATTTCTGAAAATAGTAGAAAAATTATTGAAAAGGAAACCGGGGAACAATATAAATTAAATTGAAATTTTCTAAAATTATTTAAGAATTATTATAGTAATATATTATACTCGCGAGTCATTTAAAACTTACTTACAATTTAATTTCCTGTATTTGACATTAAATTCCACTTTCACTTAGTCATTTTATATGAGAAGAAATTCAAAATTTCTCTATTAAAATTCTCAAATTCAGCTTGGATCAGATTTTCATGTTTCAGCTTTGTTCAGTGGTTGTTAAATACTCGCGAATATTGTTTTTGGAATGGTATCCAATATTAATAGTATGGAACAAATGCATGAGAGACGGAATAAACTCGAGCTTGGCTGTTTTATAATTATTAAGAAAACCGAATTGTTAGAATGAGATTTTTTTGTTCATTCTCTCATCCAATCCATATTGTCTCATCCAATCGTATTTTAAATAGAAAATTATTAATTAGAAAATTTTCATAATTAATAATCATAATTAATTAATTATTTCTTATCTTATATTTTTTAAGATTTTTAATTCAATTTTATTACAAAATCTTACAAATTGATTTCGGAAATAAATTGCCTAATTATTTTACAAGTAATATGGAAAATTCCCCTTTTTGTGATTCTATTAGTTTCCAATTATACTAAATCTTCATTTTCATTTATTTTAAATCAAAATCAATGAAAAGATTTCTTTTTCTACTTCTTGACCTCCGATTTAATAAAAAAAAAAATTTATATAATTTGTTTTCATCATTAATCATAATAGTTGTCAAAATATTTAATTAATTTCTCACTTAGAGAAGAAAAATAAACAAAAGCAAAAAAAAAAGTATTCTTAACCCAAATTCAATTTTTATTTTTTCTTTATCTTTGTTCTACTATTAAAATTAAAAATAATTTCTAATGAAATATTTTCCAATATTTTTATAAACTTAAGTAAATTATAGCATACGTACGAAGGTACGTGTTTATTTATAAATTCAATGTATCTACTCAAGTACTTGCATATTACAACATTGTAATAAAAATGCTATTAACAAAAAAATAAAATTGCCGGGAAAAAATTTTGTACCAATAATATTCTGGAATACTCTCAGTAAATGTTAAAAATTTAAAATTTCGTAAAAGATATTATGAAATAAAAAACTTTTGTTATACAACATATTTTAATAAATTTCACGGAAAACAAATTCTTACTTTGATGTTACAACTTCAGTATATTAAAAACAGCACAGCCTCAATAAATTTTTGAAAGTCACATGCAAGTAATCCCTTTGATTGCAAGAATATTAGAATAATTTTTTAATTTTACACTTATTTGGAAAGAATTTAATATTCGCATCTCGTAAACTTTTTAAATTTTGACGCCCCATATTTCCGGAACTGCAAACTTTTTCACATTTCTATAAAAGGAAGAAGGCCACTGTAAATGTCATGTAATTGTTTATCTTAACCCACTTAATTATCTATCCAATCCAAGTATTTTGTTATCGTTTCTTTCAAATTTTTTCTTGGGCTCATCCTAAAATTATGCAATAATTTGATATACATGTTTTGGTATTTTATTATTTGATATACAGATACACAATATTTATATGAAAGTTCTAATCTTGAGAATAAAGTCAGTCACAAGCGGGAATATTATAAAATTATTGATTCAGAATTTCACTGCACGAGTAATTCGTGTAGTAATTTTTTCTATAATTTCATAAATTAAAATTTTTAACAAATTTTTACGCTCTTCAAGAAATCTTTTATTATACTGAAATTCAAGTAATTTGCGTCATAAATTTTATCCAAAAAAACATATAATTGTGAACATAAAGATACAAACAAAAAAAAATTTATTTAAATTTTAAAATAAGAAAAGAAAAACAAAAACACTAAAATCATAAGACTATAATCAGCGCGCCCTATGGCCTATTTTCATCAATTAGTTTCCATTTATTTTGTTTTTGTTTTTATATTTTTCTGGTCTTCTTCTTTCTTTTATTTTAATTTTATTTTCCATTGATGATGTTCTACGAGTATGTAGAAAACAAGAATAAAGAACAGATAAAATGTAAAATGGGTGATAGCTATTACCGCCACTGTTTCACTGCATGCCACCTCTCAATATTTTAAAGCAAAACTAATTTAAGATGATGAATGATTTATGTAATCATTTTTTGTTTTTGTTTTTTAATTCAAAATTAATATTGAAAATATAGGGCGGATTCTTTAATGTTTTCTCTTTAAATTTTTTTATAATTTTGCAATATCCGATAATGAAATTCTGTGGGTATTATAAATATCTGAGTTAAAGTATCAGATTGTTGTTGGGTTGAATGTACTCAGCTAA